AATTTATTTTATTTTTTACATAGACTTAATTGTATTGTAGGTAAAATATACCGTGTCGTAGACTTAATTGTATTGCAGGTATGATATACAGTGTTAACCTAGTTTTGACTTGGCTCTGTTGTGATTTGCGGGTGAAATCATACACAGTGTGCTGTAGTTTTTATATAGATCAAGGCTGTGTAGATGTTGTGGTAAAATACAGGATGGTAAAAACAACAACAACGCCAAAATCATCTCTTCTTATTTAAAAAACGACAAACAAGAGAAAATCCAGCTTGGACATTTTGTATTGTACATACCTTCAAGTTTTCATTTAATGTTTTACCAGGGGTCAATGTGGCCACCACCGGCAGATACGAGAATTCCTCCCAAACGCGCCTCGGCATCATGTCGGAGTCCACCGTGTTGATTGTAGCTTCTGTTGTTCGGTCTTTTATGTCATTGATATTTGCTGGAAGTGCTGGAACGTAAACTTTGTCTTTAACACACCCCCACCAGAAGTGGCTATTCACTTTATTGCACGGAGATTCGAAAGTTCGAAAGACTTAATTTTTTTTCAACAAAATGTAGCACTGTCCCATTGGCATCTCTGGGTTCGAGCTTATCTGAATGAAAACGTGCCTCAGCGGTGGATTGGAAGGAGAGGTGCTAAAGACCTCGCTCTTTGCGGTTGGCCTGCCTGATCCCCGAACCTCACTGTATTTTTTTGTGGGGGTATGTTAAAGACACAGTTTATGTTCCACAACTTTCAGCAAATATCGATGGCTTGAAAGATCGAATAACCGCTGCAATCAACTCGGTGGCATGAAACATTCTGAGGCGCGTATGGGAGGAATTCTCATATCGGCCTGATGTTGTCTGTGCTGCCGGTGGTGGCCGCATTGAGCTCTTATAAAACATGAAATAAAAACTTGAAGGTGTTATAATGTACAACACGACATGTGTCCAGACTAGAGTTTTCTGTCGTTTTTTCGTTTTTGAAATAACGCGTGATGATTTTGGCGTATTCTTTTTGAATCACCCTGTATAGTATGCAAAAATCCCAATGACAATAACAAACAAACAAATAAATAAATAAATAAATAAATAAATAAGTAAATAAATAAATAAATAA